TGCCATGGGTACTCAGCCACTATCCAAACCTATTATCATTGACAGTATGTCGTTACAAGGAATTAATACAGGAATTATGGGAAGACATTAATTTTTATAAAAAATATGGATTACAAAGCACTTTTTACCATCAATTTGTTATCAAAAGGCTTGTAGGAACCCCATGCCTGCAAAGGACTTCATTGACATAAGAGCAATTGTTTTGCATGACTGCTTCAAATAGCCGTTAAGAAATTAAGGCCTCACTCACACTTTGAGAAGAATAAAAGTAAAAACAAAGCTAAAATTAACTGTATTTTGAAGGAAGAACTCTAACAATTCTGTTATTTTTTTCCCACAGGAACATGTGTAATGATGGCCATAAGGAGGTGTTCAGTAGTTTGATGCTGAAGAGCTGAGGAAAATAAATTTGAGGAGGAGGAAAAATGAAAACTGTTAGTGAACTCGTTTCAAAATATACATAAGTAACTACTCTGCTTTTAGGTTTTTATGAAAAGCAAGACACAAGCATGTTTTGAAACGCTGGAGATCCTGTCTCTCAGTAACCTGTGCCAGTCTGTATTTAGTTTATTCCTGCTAGGCAACAAAACCCAAGTTCTCCATTCCATCCTACAGTACCTGCTTCAGTTAATATTGATACTGACTTTCAAAATTATAAACAGTTCCACTGACTTTAAGAAGTGCCATATCTTGGCAGACTGGATGAGTAGGATGTATATTTCATTGTAGGCTTTAGGAAGTCTGCAAAGGGACCAAATGCTGCTTATCATTTGTTGTGGTTTTGTTCTCAGGATGAAAGTCCTCCTTCCGAGGGCAGACTGTAAGGTTTCTGAGGTTGTGTCTGCAGCTCTGCAGATGCCCTTAAATCTCAGAAGCTGAACTGCACTCAGCAGCAAATTGAAGAACAAGGCTGTTTTATCCACACTCTAAGGAACGAAAACCTGGGCACAGCTCCATTTAGTTACCTCCTTTCATTTTTATCTTTTCAAAATAAAGAGATAAGGGAAATAACAGAGCCAGGATGGGGATAGCCAGCTCCAAGTACAAATAAATCAGCACTCTTGTTTTAAAGGTTCTGAGTTGCACCAAGACTTAGAAATGCATGATAATCAAAAACTGGAGGAGAAAGGTGAGGCTTGGCTGACAAAAAATAGGGAAAAGAAGAATCTATAAGTGTTTTCTAGATATTCTGGGCTGTTACATGTTGATGCTACTTTACTCCTTCAGTGGAATGGTACCAAGTCAGAGCAGTACAGCACCTGGCACTACTGTTCAGTTTAAACTTGGAAAAAGGAAGGCTTGCTTTGCCTGTTACTAAATAACGTTTCCTCTGGGCTGAAGCACAGCAGTTGTTTAACAGCTTACACTATTTAGCAACTGTTGTCAAACAATAAAAAATATTTCATCCAAACAAAATGAAAAAAAGACTTTTAGACAGCAAAGTGGAGTCATTCGCAGTGGAAACTGGCAAGTGTCCTGCAGCTAAACCTTCTGTTAATGAGAAGTCCAAGGAACCTTCCTGGCATGCTTGAACCTCATTTCATAGTAGCGGTCACCCCAAAAAGTATGGAATTCTTTCTAAACTCAAACATATACTCACCAATTATTCTTTTCTTCCAATTATTTTCTGTGGGGAAAATTAAAAAAGCATACATTTTTGATGTCCCAATTTAAACCACAGCTTGTTATAACAAGGATTTATGTAGGTCCTGGTTTGCCAAATTTAGTTAAGCTATAGACTACTTGTCTGAGCAGGTAACTTCTCACTTTTGATGAGCAGAAAAGAGGTATTCTTTGTACACCAGCAACTGAAAATCTCTCAGAGTGTATTTGTTTTCCTCTTGTGAAGAGCAGCTTTGTTTATGACTCAGGGCTAAACTATTCAGGAAGTCAGAAAACAGAACTTTCGAGCATGCATTTGCAACACTCTAGTCCTAACCTGTTGGCCTTGATTTTACTGGGACTAATGACATAGTGACAAAGTGTAACATACCACCCTTGAGTAACCAGGGTGTTTTAATAAGATCATGGATGCTCCAGATCCAAGACTGTCATTGTAAAAAGGCTCTCCAAGCTGGGCCCTCTTGTTTCTAACTTCCACTATCCTCAATTCAAAGGCTAAGAGGTCCGCCAGCTTGTCTTGTTGCCCTTGGGATACACTGAACTCCTGAACCCTGACACAGTTGCAGAAACAATGTCCTTTTTGAGCTTCACTTTCACCACATAAAAATTCAGATAAGCCCAAATGTTTTTAGTTTCAGCAGCATTTTAGATTTTACACAGTCCAGAAGAATTTTCTGCTGCATAAAGAGTGAAAGAATGGTAATTCATAAATCCAGCACATACACACACATGTTTTCAGCATGGAGGCCTGGGTATGACCTTGCCCATAACATATAATGCAAACCATCTAAATATCTAAGTCTTTTTCTCCAGAAGGATTTAGAAACTACAGCTCTGTTCAAACCTTGGAAATAAACAGTCTGAAACAACAACAGCAGCACCTTTATTCAACTGATCAGACTGATTTACTGCTTCTCTCTAAGGCATTTATCAGACTACAGTATGTGCCAAAGGCAAAGCTCTGTCCTGAAGCTAACGGAAGACTGGGGTAGTGGGGCCAAGTCATATCAATTCTGTAGTCCCTGGAAAGTGGTGATGGGGCTGTCTTTGCGTCTTTATGTTATGGCATATTAGGTTTACCTTCCTTTTCTGCTAAGAAATAGGTGTAATTTATTGCACATTATGAAAAGGCAGGTTTTCAAAATAAACAGAAAGTTTATATGTGTACAAATCAGTAATAGAAAAGCCATATGCTCCACCAGTAACTTCAGATGATGCCTCCTATCTTTTGACATGGAAACAACAGAATGATTCTCTCCTTCCTCTTCTTAATATAAGATTTCTAAATTCCTCTAGTCATCACATGACAGTGGAGCCACTTACCAAAACTTAGTTGTTTTGAAAGGTGTGTCAAAACTGAAGAACGACGACACAGCAGCATCTTTGGACAAAAGAACTGTGAAATTCAAATGCAAAATCCTTTAATTATAGAAGGCTACACCCCGTCCCCATATGCCGACATACTGCTCTTACTAGCATCAATAAGAGCTGTGGATATACATTCAAGGATAACTTTTGGTCCTCAGACATGACTTAGTAAAATATTTTGTGTTGAATAAAAAGAAAGTCTGTACTTACAAACTAAAATTATCAGGAGCAAAGTGGCAGACAGTCCTCCCAGAAAATATCTGAGAACATAACAATACCCATCAAGGTTAGAAAAAAACAAGGGATGCATATTGGGTTAATAGAGGTGAAGCCTGGGTGGGAGGAGGAGAGAAGGTTCTTGTTGATGAACCCTCTGAACTCTGGTAGATGGACTACAATGTAAGACTTTAAATTACGTAAGCTTTTGAGGATAATGTCCTAGAAGGAAAGACATCAGCATTCCCAGACTGAAATACCCATACTGGTCACCTAGAAAGACACACATAGATCCATTCTGATTCTTCTCAGCCTTTCAAAACCCCTGGTCCAAGCACACTTGACAAAGTAGTTTCCATGTCTGCGTACATATTTCTTATTTTTGTGCATATCTGTATAGCTGAGATTTTTTGCCTGCACCAACTATAATGTGAAAATACATTTTCATAATAAGATATATCTAACTTTGAAAATGTGGCCCCATAAATAAATGATTTATCATTTATCCAACAGTTGAAATGCAATAAGCATTCATATCAGGAACAAAAGAAATAGAAGTTACCTTGTACATATTGAAATGATTAAACACGTGATCAGTGCAACCATCTGAGACAGGACACTTTGCACTGTCCTGGATTCTAAAACAAAAGCCAGGAAAATGAACCTCATGAGTTTTCACGAAAGTAAATGTATGACAGGAGGTGTTTGCAAAGACCTTCAGCCTGTGAGGCCAGTCTCTTCAGTTTCTTTTTAAGAGAATTCGCCTAGAGCGATTCAAAGCAGAAACCTAATTTTCATGCTCTGGGTGTCTCTCAAGAGTCTTTTTCCCCCACAACCATAGAGACACTGAGCCCTGCACACTCTCAGAAAACAAGACTTCCTGAATAATTGCCTTTTTCAGTTGTTGTTCCCATGCCCTTTCCTCCATTTTCCTCTTCAGCCCCCTTTTCCATTTATCACTGAAAATAGGACAGGAAAAGATGTGGGCAGAGGGCGATAAACAGTAAATGCCAATTTGTTTTAATCAGTCATTTTAAATGTATGTTTCAGTAAATAAATTCTATTCTGCAAGGGGGGGGCATGTCAACATTTTTAATGCATTTATAGTTCACTCTAAAAATAAGACATATCAGAATAAGAAGGTAACACACCTGTGTTGCTCCAAGTCTCTTCATTTGCATTTATCATAAATGGAGAGCTAGATTTTGATACACAAGATGGTTTCTCAGGCTGAAGAAACTTGTCATCTTTGCTGAGAGAGACTCTGTTAGGTGCTGGAGCTTGTTTTTGTGCCACATGGTTGTCATAGCTGTTATATTCAGAAGAAACATTTGAATCACCTACAAAAAGTGTAAATATAACTGAGACAAAGAGCTTTGAGACTTGTGTTAATGAATTGGTTTGGGGAGGTTAATTATTTAAACACAGAGAGGTTTTCAAATTGTTAAGGGTTAGGAATTGGATGGTTCAGTGTATGCAGGTGAAAATATGGAGAGTAAAGACAAAACTGAATAAACCATCATATATGAATGACACCAGTATAAACATCACTGGTGATTACTTTGGATTCAAATTCAGTCTAAAAATGTTGTTTTGGTATCAAGGTCTTTGTGGACTCATACTCTTTCAATGCCAGGAGCTTAATTCACCACTGTCTTTCTGTCTTTCATCTAAGCTTTACCTGCACAACTTGGCCAACAACCCCTGCAAAACCTATAGAAAGATTCCCAAGTCCCACTAAATATAGACTGTAAGGTTGTGGCTTGATTACTTGGTGCCTGGTCAGGGCTTACCAACATCACTCTGACTGGCTTCTAGTTCATTGCATTCATCAGGCCAAGGATCATCTACATGGGAGGAATCCATTTTGCTGGGGACGGTGCTGCTGAGCCAAGAAGTGGAGGCATTGAGACTGAACAAGCTGGCAAGAGAGCGACGGATTTTCTTCCTTCGCCTGAATACACTAGAAAGAAAAGACACATTGTCAAGGAACAGAGTTAATCATTCTGGTTGAGCAGGGACAGAGCTCTAAAGCTTGCAGGATTGACACAGAGGAACCATGTTCTGAGTGCTGTTCTTGACCCTGGGTATGTCACCAAGAATGACTGCTGCACAATGCAGTAATGCCAAGGGATGTATTAACAGCAATATATGGCAATATATCATGATGTTGTGATACTGGATATTGCGATAAAAATGATACTACAGTTATTGGGCTCTGAACTTTTAGAAGTGATCTCCCACTACCCCTAACTTTCACCCTATTATAACCCTTTTGGTGCAGCCCAAATCCATTGTACTTCAACTTTAGATACTTTCCTAAACTGATGTTCTGAAATCAAGAGAGATTTTTCCATGAGGAAGAATTTCAGGACCAGACCTTTTTATTTTTTTGTATACATACACACATATCTACTTTTTTCCTTATTCCTTATCATTGTAACACCTCATTGGCAAAAGAAGCTGTAGCTTTCTCTTTTCCTTATTGGACACAACTCCAGTTACAGCAACAACTGTGTACTGAAGAGTTTTTGGATAGTAAGATCAGAAATGACTGAAAAGTTATTTCAGTCACTGCACTCTCTAAACTAAATCAATTGAGATGTTTCCATTAAGAAGCAATGCCGATATTATGCCAACCAAAGTATAGAAAGTCACACAGATACCTCTAGGTAAGTACAGAGATGTGGAGGCAATTGCCAACATTGAGTGAAACTGCATACAGTTCACTTACCGAACTAAATTCTCTTTGTATGTAACACTTGTCTGGGATGGTGTCAATGTTATGTTGCCCTCTTCATCAGACAGAAAACTGTCTTCTGTCCAAATGTAATACCCATTAGAAAGCAGTCGAGGGCTGCGGCGACATATGGAAAGGGATCCTGGTGGAGTATTTGTGGAATGATATTCATAAGCAGGGTCATCGTCCAAAAAGGCACAAGCATAACTGAAAAGGAGAAATAAACTCTCTAATTTAGTGAATGTCTAGACAGACCAAACCCATGATTTAATAGTTATGAATTTACATTACCAACTGATGGGGCTGGTAATGACGCAGATTTAGAATATGTGGCTATAATGATATTACTTTTGGACCCAAGGAGTTTCAGACAGCCAGAGTGTGCCTGCATCACACTTTCCAGAGCTTCAAATGACTGGAGGGCTTCATGCCAGTTGTAGCATTTCACGTGAGCATGGAGCCAGCTTGAATGCAGATGTGCATGATGCATTTCTGTGGCGGTGCTCTTGGCCAAGGACTCCTGCCAGATGCACACCTACCTGGCGTTGACGGAGGTATTCCAGTATTTTCCTTCTCTGAGTTACTCTGCATGGAACAAGCCTGAGTGTCTCCAAACCAGGAAGGATTTATTTGCTTTTTATAACCTAACCTAATGAAGACTTAAAGATACATGACTTCATTCTCACAAACCTAGAATACCACGCAGCTAGAACAACATGGGATAAAGTCTACCCATGGTGATAACTTCATCCAGCACTGAAATACAATTGACTTTGAGATGAAATATATCACAGAAAAACATACTATGTGGTATTTAAAATAGAAGTGAATAGTGACAAAGGTGAAAGAATCTAAATGCTGTGGACATTTTATTTAGCTCAAGAAAACTGAATTTATGGTTAGGGTTAGTCCTTTGTCCTCAACACCTTTGAGTTCCAAGGGGCCATGCAGTGACATCCATGGAAAGAAAGACACTGGATAGATTCAGTGGCTGACATGGGTTTCAGTAGCATGTTTCACTATCCCATATGGCATGTTGCTGAGGGATACCATAATTTCAGTGGAGGGAAAAGCAGGTGGAACAGAAATACTCCAAAACCTTGCAATTGCAAAGCCAGCGCTTCCAGTCTCCACAGCAGTAGTTGTGAACTTTCATTTAAAGCAGTAATTAAATTAACACGAGCACTACAATTCTGAGTGCCCCCAAAGGGATTTTACAAAATCTCCAATGAAATGAAAATGAAATTAAACAAGTAAAATTGTCCTAAATACCTTGGAAAAACACGTTGTGAGAGGTTGTGTCTATGTTCTCCATTAAACTCTGTTGAACCTGTAGAGGCAAAGGGCAAATAAGAAGGAGTGTTTATCATATCTACTGACAGCTTAAACAGTTGACAGGTCTTCACTGACAGGTACCTTGTGCATATAAAAAGAGATCATAATAGAAGCTAATAAAAGAAAAGGGAAAGATTAAAGGAGATAAAACAGGTGAAAGAGACATGGAAAAGCACAGTGTTTGTAGGAAACTCATCTTGATGAAGAATCAGAATCAATCTTAATCAGATACGTGTACTCTGCACAGCTCACAACCTTGAGAGAAATAATTATGGCCACAAACACAATAGCTGCAGTAATTTTAATGGTGTTAGGGTCAAAACCAGAACATGTACTGACAACAGATACAGAGTAGAATAAACGGACCACCATAACCATTACAATATATTTTTCAGATTAAAATGGCAGGCATTGGACAACACGCACTGGAATAAAAACAGTGACACAGGTTTGATAATAATATTGTGACAGGAGACTCCGGAAATAGGATTTGTCTGGATTACCATGGCTCAAGTCTGCGAAGTGCTGCCAGATGTTGAGCATCTGACAGAATCAGTCTTATAAAATATGAACAATGGTTATCCATAGGGAAAACTTATACGTCATACATGGAAAGACAAAAGGTGTGATCTTTCCCTATGTTATCTTGCCTCTTCTGTATCTTTAGAGCACCATGTTTAAAACACCATTAGTAAATGACCATCGTGCACCTATGAGAAGAGATGGGTCCAAGAGAATTAATTTTTTTTATGTTCAGTTATGAACAGAGGCAAAGAAAAGACATGGAAGTCAGTGTTTCCACTTTGGGAATCTTTTTATGCTCATTTGGAGCTCAGGTGTCAGCCACAACCTGGACGTGAAGGCTAACTGAGCGTTGGGACCAGGCAGGGTCACCAGAGAAGGGAAGCAAAACCTTACAGTCCTATTACCCTATTCCCACACAAACTGTTTCTCCTACAGTTTGAAAAATGCCAATTAAAAAAAAATTACCATAAGAAAACTCTGCTCTAATCCTTGCAAACACAACTTGAGGAGATAAGTGGAAGAAACTTAGTGGAGGTGCAAAGAGATAAGTAACATGGGTCAGAATGCCACACAGCAAGTTGTACAAGAAGCGAGAGTGGTGGCGTGTTTCAGACCTATATTTTTCCATACGCAATTAGCTCTTGAATTAGATCTCATTTTAGGCAGAATCATGATTCTTAATTGTGCAAAAATATACTCAGAACCAAGAAATTAATTCAAACTTGAAAAGAAAATTCAGGAAGAACTTGACAGGTGGTTTGTAGATCTGGATATAAATTAAACCCACCAAAATCCTAAATCTTATCAGCCAAACGAGATCCCCCCCCCAAGAGATTTGGTTTTTTTTAATTAAAAGCTCTCACAAACATGCACAAATTTACTTGTTCTTGGTGTTGATGCAACATGTGATATTCCATACATCTTAAAAAGGACTGTTTCACACACCATGGGATAATGGGTAATACAGATTATCTGTAAAAGAGTTTAAAAAGAAACAGAAGTATGGTTTATTTTTAATTGATTAAAAATAAGGATGCCTAAGATAGTATCATCAATATATATATCACATTATTAGCAGGTCGAAGGAGACGATCCTGCCCCTCTGCTCTCATGAGACCTCACCCGGAGTACTGTGTGCAGTTCTGGTGTCCTCAACAGAAAAAGGACATGGAACTGTTGGAACAAGTCCAGAGGAGGGCCACGAGGATGATCAGGGGACTGGAGCACCTCCTGTATGAAGACAGGCTGAGAAAGCTGGGGCTGTTCAGCCTGGAGAAGAGAAGGCTGCGTGGAGACCTCATAGCAGCCTTCCAGTATCTGAAGGGGGCCTATAGGGATGCTGGGGAGGGACTCATCATTAGGGACTGTAGTGATAGGACAAGGGGCAATGGGTTAAAACTTACACAGGGGAAGTTTAGATTGGATATAAGGAAGAAGTTGTTTCCTGTTAGGGTGGTGAGGCACTGGAATGGGTTGCCCAGGGAAGTTGTGAATGCTCCATCCCTGGCGGTGTTCAAGGTCAGGTTGGACAGAGCATTGGGTGAGATGGTTTAGTGTGAGGTGTCCCTGCCCATGGCAGGGGGGTTGGAACTGGATGATCTTAAGGTCCTTTCCAACCCTCACTATTGTATGATTCTACCATTCTATTGGTTGCAATATATACTTGCTTAAGCTAAAGTTACTGATTATAGGGAAAATTTGTTTGAAAAGGGATACAGAAGTATACCTCAGCATCAGTTATACCTACTACAGCTCTTTAATAACCTGAGTGTGAAACTTTCCAGCAGCTGAAACCCACAACACAGTTGTTTTGCATGTAATTTGTTTCAGTTTTGATAATATAAAGTAGCAACCACTAAGAGAACAATGTTTAAGAACAGTAGCTTACATATGGGTAGAGCTTTCATTAGAAAGTGTTGGCACATACTGATCAAAGTGGCAGAACAAACCATGGTCCTTCCATTACTAATCTGAATTGTCTCAGAAATGTGCAAGGTATGTGCCTGCTGGGCGCTTGTTTATCTGCCACCTTCCACAGAAATAAAATTTAAGGTAAAATAGCATATATACATAGATTCATGGTCCTTTCCAACCCTAACTATTCTGTGATTCATAACAGAAAGTGAGAGATATACCTATGCAATGTATTGCTGGGGAGAAGATGACTTTCTCTCTTTTGAAGAATTAATAGACAGTTGCAATTTGCTTTTAACTAGTGATAATTCCAAGGTTCCATAAACAGTCATAGAATAGGCAGTCCAACAGAATTTTTTGCTGCCTTTGAATCATGAGTATTTTTGTCTCATGTTAATGAAGAGGGTTCCTAAATATCATAATTCAATCAATGCTGAGGAAAACATGGAAATACCATGTTGTAGACAATGCTGCACAGTGTTCTGCTTTCATTTCATATTCAGTTCTGGTTTGGGGCTATTAATAGTGTGAGAAGCTATAGTAACAGTATAAGCAAGCCAAAACAAAGCATCTTAACCACCACTGTACAATGAAGCAGTAGCATTATATCTGTAATCCACAAACTGATCATCAACACAGAACCTTTAAACTATGGCAGGAGAAAAGCCCCATAGCTTTAAGAAGTCACACTAAAAATGAATCCGAGGTGAGCACAGAAATATTTTATGTAGAGAATTCAAGTAAAAGTTTAAGGCAGAAACCCCCCTGCCTTGAATTTCCAAACACCCAAACCCCTGTGCTGTAATACTGTCAGTTTTAATTACCTTTCCCTCCAAAAATCAAATTACTCTTTCAGCCAATGAATCCCTTAACTGGTAGCCAGCAATCCTGTGTCCGTCTTCATGTTCGAAATATTTACATTAGTAGGTACCAAAATACAGTGTTAACTGCTAAAATAACTGAAGCCCAGGCAACCAGTTTTATGCTATTGAACCTACCAAACACAAGTGCCTACAAAGGTAGTTTTCTTTGTCCACACATATCAGTCATTTCTGAAGAGCAGTGCAGTCTTTCCCCCCTGCAGGCAATGATAACAACATCCACAGAAATACAAAACTTCCTGAAGAGCGGTACAGAAATGAGTCCAAAGCTTAGTTATTTCTCAGCTGACAAATATACTAAGAGATAAATATGTGTAAAATCTTCCAAACCTGGAAAATCCATTTCACTATTAATACATGTATGTAAAAGAGTTTCTCATCATCAACACGAGTGCCTCGGAGACGTTAAGTGGAGGGTGCTCCTTCTGCAGCTTCCTGGAAGAGATTAGCTCTGAGGTTTCAGAAAGGCAGGTCTATGAAGTCCCCTGTTTCCTTTTGAAAACAGCCTGTGCAATCAGCAGCACAGAGGCAGAATGAGGTCACGCTTCCTGTGGAGTAGCCTCACATCAGAAGCATTCATTTTGAAGAGCAAACTGAAGATTAAGATTAGCCCAGTGAATGCTCTTGCAGGCAGTTGCAAACGAGAAGATACACTGAATAACGTTTCACTCCAATAATGATACAGAGAACAAAGAGAGAACCTTTTCTCACACAGTGACACGGGTTTTTGTTTCAGCTTTCCATTTCTACCTCACTCAAAAAAGTCCCAAATCACTCTATTATTTGTTGAAATACTTGTGAGCCTGATGGGCTTTGATGTAAGAAAATGATCAAGGTACCAAAAAAAATCCACGTATAATAATAACAAGGCATTTTGCAGAAGCATTATTATAGGGAAGATGCACTTGAGAGTTGAGAGTTGCTTGTTTCATGGTCAAAAACATCATTGCAAATATATACCATACAACATCAAGATAAATTGTCTTGAAAGGAGAAAGGAATAAAGCCATTTGTAAACATGCTCACTGTTCCACTCTAGGTGTTTCATACTATGCAAGGTAATTCATCACACCTTATCACATCACACCAGTACACAAAAATAAAGTCAAATCCACATAAGAGAAATGAAGCCTGAACAAGATGCCCTGGCAATCAAAATGATTTGGCTGTAGAACTTACACACAAAAGTAGTACAAATCAACTGCTTGACACTGAAAAATTACACAACCTCAGGGAGCAAAACTTCAAAACAAACAGGTGAAACATGCCAGTAGGTATCTCTCCTGATGTCTGTATGTAGCGCTGACAAAAAGAAAGCATAAATCTAGTAAAATATGATTTATTTGATTTAATGATAGGGTTGTTTTCCCTGGAGAAGAAAAAATATCTCCACTGATAAAATGTAAACATCTCACCTCACAGAAAAGGACACAAGAATAGGAATTAGGCAATTAGGATGTTACGAAAGACCTTCTGTTAGGGAGCTAAACTAGAATTAGTATTTTAAGGTCCTTTTGCTCAAATATGAAAACATGTTCTTCACTTCTTTTACTTTAGTAGAATTATGCCAATGAAGAAATTTAGTCCAACCCTATTTCCATGGATGCATGGGCTTCATTACAGTGGGATTTCCCTGGCCACCCTCTCTCTCAACAGGCAGCGGACATAAATTCCCACTGGTCTTTGAAACTAGGTCACCTACTGAAGAATTTCTGTGCATACACTAATTTACTTCTTGGGAGTATTTTGGGGTTTTGGTATATTTTGGTTCTTTTAAATTCTTCTCATCAGGAAGCAGTTCTGAGCTTGGGCTGCTGTTTTGAACGATATTGGTATTGCATGTTTGCCTATATAATTAAATGTATTGTGCCTACATCATATTTAGACTTAGAGGTGTTTTCTTTTTTAATCACTACCATTCATATCTGAAACTCACTGTTCCACAAGCTTTTGATGCATAAACTTTGTGCATTAGTGAATATTTTACAGGTAGGCATTAGACTATGTACCCACACAGAAAGGTTTGTATACAGCTTATGTTTCTTGCTTTTCCTGTCATGCCTCAAACTGCCCATCCCACCCCACCCCATCAGATTTCAAATTCTAGGAAATGAACACACCAACAAGCTTGCTGTGCAGTAGTTTCATGCCTGTTGCATACATTACAAGCTCAACCCACAAAAGTAAGGAAATGAAAAATTACAAAACTAAATGCCACCTATCTTTCTACACTTGTCCCAGGCTTACTCTACCTCTGATACTACAAATAAAAGAGAAAGCATATTACCAGTGATCTTTCAAGGCCAGGTTGGACTGCGCTTGGAGAAACCTGCTCTAGTGGAAGGCATCCCTGCCCACAGCAGGGGGTTGGAACTGGATGAGCTTTAAGGTCACTTCCAACCCAAACTGTTCTATGATACACACATCATAGGTGAGTACAAGGTGGGTCCCTCCAGCAGCTTGGCTCAGACACATGGTCTGCCCTATAGCTGCCCCTGGATCTCCCCAATTGCTGGCACCTGGACATGTGAGCTCTCAGGGCCACAGTCCAACTCCAGTTGCTATTACAGACCATCACACACAGCTGGTCAAGATTCCCATGGTCCTCAGCAGCCCCCTCCCTATGGCATCACCCTTAGAGACACCCTTGTCTCATGTCCCCAAGCAGCAACTCCTCTCACTCCCAAAGGTTCTATGGCATTGACTCATCTGAGTGGGTTTCATTCCTGTACACAGGGGTTGTGCCTCCTCTGGGATAGGCCTTGGAAGGACCGAGGCAGAGCATCCCTTCTTCTGAGTCCTTAATTTGTTTTGCCCCTGCCTTTGTGCCCTGCTCCTCCTCTGGACTGATGCAGAAGGGCCCTTGATGGGCTGATGGCTCCTGGGATGGGCCTGGAAGCAGCTGGGGCAGGTTATTATTTAAGCTACCCCTCCATCTGTTGTCTTTCTGTGCTCCTTTGTGGGTGTGCAGATGAGCTTTTAGCCCACATTACACCACAATCCTGCCATTTCAGCAACCGGCAGCAATTCAGTGCCCTGCGTTATTATGCTAAACACACAGTTCTCAGAAAGGGTATTTTGTGTGGTAGAGCGAATTGAGTGGCCATGATGGAGGGAGTAGAGTGCTTATTGATTGAGTGCAATTGAGAGTAATCTGATGCTTCTCTAACTCTTTTCAGCTCACAGCCTTTAGCTTTCCCACCAGCTTCAGTGACCACCAAATCAAGCCACTTGTCCCGTATCACGGCTCTTTGCTAATGCTGTTTATCTAGTACTCAACAAGTAAAAATATTCTAAGACATCTGAAAAGTAATTGAAACATTAAAAAAACAGCAGAGGAAGGGCAGATAATGAGAACTTCAGAGCAACCACACATGGTCAGACTGAAGGTCTATGAAACTCTCCCTGCCTGCAGTCTTGCTGCAGGGAAAACTAAGACTCATTTTAATTCACCTTTGTGAATGATAGGATCTTGAGCTAAGGGCATCCCTTTATGCAGCAGAAACCCTTAGTAATGCTTGAGGTACCCTGGCTATTAAAAAAGAAAAAAAGTCCTCACAAATTCAGACACTTTATTTCAATGTTAAGAGAAGGCTTATCCTGCATAAAGTTAGTATTTCACTGCAGTTTACAGAATGGACATATCATCTATGATTTTAATAACCATGTCAGCTGTATGAACAGAGATTAATTTGCTTTAAAAGAAGAGCAAATTACTTTTTGATGTTATCAGATGGAAATCCCACTTCACCCTATCAGAGACCTCAGGCTAGATTTCTTTTCCAAGTTCACTGAATTTAATTGCTCCTGCATACAGGTAACAAAGGTTATTTCTGTTTCTCATGGTGGAGTACAATGCACAGACTTGTAAAGCTTGGATTCAGCTCTGAGCTTGCTGATAGATCCACGCTGCTTGGATGTCAACAAAAGCTTACCTGCAATAATGCTATGTCAGCTACACACACACAGTCCAGATAGATAGACAAAAAGTGTTTAGAAAGGTTCTAAATCAAGCAAATCTGGATGCACAATGATACTTCTCTGTGCAAAGCCATGACCAATCTGTGTTGCATCTCCTTGCTCTTTGCTTATATGGTGTCGGAAGGAAATTTGTTTTGTCTGTAACTTGATGTAGACATGGGAATTTGCTTGTCAGGAATTTTGTACAATGTCACATAAAAGCAGTGGAAAAGCACACATGGGGAAAAGAGTTGCTTCCATTAGAATCTGCAGCTCCCCCACCTTGCATCCCTAAATACTGCTCCTTTAGAAACTATTTTATCATAGAAATAAAACAAAAGGAAGAGGATAATATTCAAATCCATCTGTCAAGGCAGAATTTAATCAAGGTCCCTAACAGACCTTGAGTGATCCTCATTAGAGTTCTTTGTACACTTCCTCACAAGATCTGACTGTTACTGAACAAGAAGATAGGAACACTAAGAAAAGCAACAAACGCAGCTATGCTAAAAGCTGGCTGACTTCCTTAAGGATTACAAAAGATCGTGAATTAGCACTCTGCTGTACCTGCAGCGACTGGAAGCATCAGGATAGAGCCAGCTGTTGGCCTATTGTGCTCTAGTAGCATCTTATTTGAGAAGAATAGAAACTTTAACACATCGATGACTGGTCTGAATAGAGAATGAGTGGGAATGGGATTTGAAGTGGCAGTGGAAACATGGTATGTATGGCAGGTCATGGGGCCTAGGCCTGCAGGTCATCAAGCTTCCAGCACAATCTACGTCCAGACTGAGAAGGAAATGACGGGGACTAAACCAGGTCAGACAGTATGGGAGACTGATCACTTTAAGCTCTAAAGGGCATGTCCAAACCCAGCACAATGAGGCAAATGTAGGAAGTACCCATAAGACATGGTGAAGATGTGTTTGCCTACATTCCTTGTCTTCTGTGTCACTACACTACAGACAGATCACCTGCATAGCAACACTTTGGCGGCTGAGAGCTGGACCGGCCACCTAGACAACACAGAGCTTCGGGTAGCACAGAGACACATAAATTCTGAACGTTTGGTTGGGAGTTTCCATGTTACAGGAGTTCCAAATGGAATGTTCCTCTGGAGGTGGTGATTGAGACAAGGAGGCACAAAAGTACAAAATGTAATCAGTTCTAAGTAATGTTAAGTTTGATGGCTTTGTAATGGAAAATAACCGCGGTACTTGAAGGTAGTTGACATAGTTTCAGGCCCTCAGGGCCTCAGTACAAAAGGTGTGAGAAAAGCAGAATAGAAGGACAGGACCTGGGATGGGGAGTATCCCGGACTAGCAGATGTCCAGGATGGGAGCAGTTAAACTAACTGATAAGTAGAAGGCCAGGATGATTGCTATGTCTGTAATGTTAATTAAGCTTGCTGGGAAAAGTAAACGACCCTTAAAGACCACCACATTTTTGTATGCATGCCGGAAACCTTTAGGAAAATGATGTAATATGCTCAGTGACCACATAAGGATGACCTGTAGAGCAGCTCGGGGACACACGTTAGGAGGAGCTATCCCCCGTGTCTCCCGGCGCCGCAATAAAGAATACCTGCTTGTCAACTTGAAACTCTGTTGGCGAGTTTGTTCCTGGAGTTTTCTCCGAATCATGATGATCAGCATAGCTGAGAC